CTCGCTGGACTGCTGCAATTCGCATGCCTATGGCCTCCACACTGCTACGTTGCTGCACTTTGCCTTTGATAAATACAATACAATAAAACCCTTGTTAACACATGAATGGATTATGTCCACAGAAACACTAAAGAGCTTTTAATCTGAAACAGATAGATAGTTCTGTCATGTCTGTGAAACTGTAGTGAAAGGTGTATTTGTTTGCTGGTTTACTGTTGATATGACTATGAACAGATCTTTTTCACTGTCTTTCCTTGCTGGGAGCCACGCACGGCTTGCGCAAAAAATAGACAAGACCTTGACTCTCTAGTGAAGAGTCACTCTAGCCGCAGCTGAGACGCGTGTGGCTGCTGCTCTAACGCGTTTGTATGAGCGCTGCGGGCAGTGTCCAGGCCATTACGCTACTTTTTTTTGAGTATGCTACTTTCAGCGTAGTGTTCCAATGATGGGTAGATTTTAGCTTCACAGGCTAACTGTTAGAGTACAATGTACGTCTGACAAGCACTTTGTAAGTGCTTTTTACAAATTTACAAATGGCTTGTTCATTTCAATCCAGCCTTGGAAGCCACAAATAGTTAGTGAGCTAAGAGCTAGTGTGAGGAAATCCAACTGTGATCCAACCTACATAGACTTTGGTTCAGCAGTTTGAGTTAAAACTTTGAGGGAATGACAACAACAGATCTATTTTCTTATGTCAAAAAATTTCATGGCTCCTCTGAGTATGAGACTAAGTACAGCTCTGCAAAAGCTCCATCCTGGAGAGACCTGTTTCGTCTGTAGCGATTATACATAATGTATGAAAATAAACTGTTTCGGTGTAAAAGTGATGCCTGGGGGATAATGGCAGTGAAACCAAAGACACCATAGACACTGTTCACAGCTAATCTGATACTGCCAGGCAATCCTGTTAACTATGCTCTCCAAGTCATGCTATAATGATTTCTTTGAGTTTGAATTCTGTGTGTATGTGTGTGTGTGTGTGTGTTTAGACAATTATAAAAAAGCTGTGCCTACCTCTCTGAATGCACACAGGAACTGATAACTGCTTCATTGCTATTTTTACCAGCATGCTGCTGCCAAAGAGAACATGTAATGCAAACAGTGGGGAGTGTGTATGTTTGTTTTTAGAGGATTTACAACCGGCACCAGCCCACCCTATATTTGATAGATAATGTCAAGCCAATCAACATCTCTGCTGCCGCTGGAATCTCTGACTGCATCAAACAGAGGACAGAGAGTGAGGAGCGTGCACGTAGAGTACCGCTGTAAAGGCTCGCGCACAGGAAAACTGTTACGACTGGCGAGAAAAAGAGGAGGGGGTGGAATGAAGCCCCCTTTTGACAGAACCGGGAGACTAATCAGGAGAATAAAACGGTCATTTTAAGGCAGCAGTATGTCAGAATTGCCCTTGACATTATGCATAAATGAGGAAATCAAAACTTTCACCTGCTTTCATGCTGCATTCTGTCAACAGGTCGACAGGCACTGCCATCAGCCAACAGCAGGCTTCATGCATGTATGCTAAATAAATTGCTGACAAGCCCCCCTGCTTCAGCCTATCAACATGTACTGTTATGTAATTTTCTAGCAGCGTAGACACATGAGTTTGAATAATCGTCACAAAAACATGCTGGCATTTATAAAATGAGCTGATAAGCTAAAAGGGATACAATTCCGATGGATCGGAAAATTTGGAACCGGTTCTCCATTCCCTCAAGAGTTCTGTCATTGCTGTCAGTTTAAACAAGAGATGTCAAACTGTCGGCCCAGGTGCCATTTCCAACCCCTCTCTCCCTTTCCCATCAAAAATATAATGTATAATATAATCCAGCTCACAAGATCATTTTTTCTCTGTGTTTCAAATCAATTTAAACTACACTTTCATATACAAGTAAGAAAAAAAAACACAATTCTGTTTTAAAAAATGTTTTTGATGTAAAATAATGGCAAAAGTCAAAGACTGCTGTTTATTATATTTCTGTTAAATATGATAGAATAGAAATACTCAGAGAATACTGTGCTTTCTTGTAGTATTTAAACGTTGAAGTGGCTCTTCTATCAGATACCAGCAGTGGCCCCGAGCCAATGTGAGTTTGAGAGCCCTGCTTTAGAAAGACTTTGTGCCTTGAGGGTGTTGCTGAGACCTCTGCTTTAAGGCCTGAAGGCATGTTTACTACAAATGTGTGTTTTGTGTATTAATGGCATGCAAGGATTATGCCCACTTTATAAATTGCACGAATGTTCTTGCCCCCATTGTGGTAGCATGATATCAAAGGGTTGCCATGTTGTCCTCATAAAACAAATAATAGCTTTATATGCTTATATAAGTATATAAAACTATTCTTGTTCTTGGCTCCAGGCAAAGTAAGTAGGGCCCCCAAAGAAATCTTGCCTAGGGCCCCCTGTTGTCTAGCATCATGCCTGTTTACAACCACAGTATTAATAGTCTGTCCTGTGTCTCCCTGATATAGATATGACTGGGCTGTGCCAGCTGGGGAAGAGGAAGAAAGGACAGAAAGAATCCATTGGGAGATGACACAAACAGCATCAGACCCTGAACTCCTCATCAACACAACTGTGAAAGAGGATGAAGAAAATCAAAGTTTCTTTTGTACCTGCAGTTCAATCCGTGTGGACACAATAGCAGTGTATGAGCAGGAACGGAATGAAAAGCTGGTTGCTGTTTGTTCAAAGTAGACGTCTGCATTTATTTGTCACTCCCAGAATTTCCTGAGGCATGAGGAGAAAAGACCAGTGTCTTACACAGCAGAACAGAGACCTTCTGACTTTTACCTTTCCTCTTTTATATTTACCCTCTGTCCCTCCCATGGTGCATTGTTTCGGCCTACATGAGAAAGTGTCTTTGTCATTTCTTGGTGACGGAGAGGAGTCGTGCAAACAGAGACGACAGGAAAGTGACGCTGTTGGGCAACATTACCGAAGCATCAATGCTGTGTTTTACAAAAAATTAAACTGTTGTAATTCCAGTCAAGTTGACGTTAAAGAGTAAGAGTTAAGAGTCTGGCATGTGACATTTTAAATCCACGATACAAATGCATGAAAGAATGAAAGAGCTTTAGCTTTAGCAAGAGAATGCTTTTAGAGCACATCTGAAATGTTCGTGTTTTAACGGCAAGCCAGTGTTCAGACCGACAGCAGCACTGCTCCATTCATTCCCATTCACCACGAAAACAACAAGTTGAACCTGACTCCACATAATGCGACAACTTCCAGGACGATACTGCAATCACATATGTGCAAAGGCACACTCCTGGTAAATTACTTTGTAGTGAGAATTTTTCTGTTTACTTCACAGTCGTCGTGACAAAAGATATAGTTATATTTCTAGAGTTATAAAATCCTTTCTCATGGTATTATAAATCACTGTGCAGTGTTTTGCTGTCTCTTTCTCATAGTGCACTTTTCTGGATTGCATAACACAGTGCTGTTTTCGGTCTGAACGACTAGTAAGGCAGGCGATATTATGTGTTTTTCTTACCGCCAACAAATCCCATGAAAAGACCAAAACCAACACTGAATGGATCCTGCTAACGAGTAGTGGCCTGATATATCTCCCTCTGTGCTATAGACCTCAATTATTGTCTAACTAGACTAAAAATATATCTTTTAAAAAATCGAGTCCACACCACAACTATAATGACAACAGTGGTGAACAATATTGTTGGGATCACTTTCAGACCAATTGTAAGAACAATATTGTAACATACAACTTATTAAACGCCTATACAGGGTGTGGAAGGCCCTCAACAGTCATGCTAGCAGCTTGGTAAGACTGTACATAGCTTAACATGCTCATAATGACGAGGCTAACATGCTGATGATAACATTTAATATTTAGTTTGACATTTTAGTTAAACATTTTAGCATAATATAGAATAATTAGATTGATACCTTCAGTAGGAAGATACTGTAAGGGCCACTGACAGGTTAGAAGAGTCATAAAGTATTCAGAGGGACTAACAGCCTGTTGGTTTTGGTAATTTCAGGGGATTTCTTTTATTTTACTTGAATGAGGAAAATAAGGAGAAATGGCAGCCCTATGTGCAAAACAAGGTGGTCCTTTAATACGTGAAAACATCAGAACCATGCTTTGAACTTAAACTGAAATAAATTGTAAAAAGAAAAATTTAATATATGGTTGAGAAAAGAAAAAAAAAAATCCCGTAACAATATTGTTCCTTTGCATGTCAATACTGCTATTTAATGCTACTGTACAATGCTATCAGTCATAACGAAACACAGAAAAGCCAAAAGTGCTTTTTTATGTGGATTTTCTCAGATCTATAAAGCTCCTCTGAGGCCTCTATTGCCATCCTGGGCCAGTGGAACATGTTATGGCTTCAATTCTAATACAAGAAAGGATACAAAGAGCGTGAGCACAGTTGCAGGTAGGAACCAAGCTGTTACATCTCTATTGATTTCACTCCCAGAGCAGCAGGAGACAAGCTGCAAACATTGCCTGGCTGGTGCATATTAAACCAATCTATCCTCTGAAGAAATCGTGTACTTGGGAGGTTTTGTATGCTGGAGCTTGAAACGTGGGAGAAATTTACACAGATCTCAGTGCGAGATCTGAAGCATTTTTTAGATGCTGGCTTTGTATTCATATAGCCCACACTGTACACATGAGAAATCAACACTAGCCATGTTAATATGCATTTGAGTAAAGCCAGATTTCATACCCTGTGATTGAGTCTCCGATGTCATAAATAAACCAATTTACTGGCCAAGATAGAACTGCCTTCCAGCCAAAAAGCATTACAAGGTTTGGTTGCTTTCTGTCCTCTTTGACCGAGCTGTAGCTTAAATGGAATACAAAAAAAGGAGTGATAATAATAATGGTGTATAATAGCACTGGGCCCTACTTTGCATTTGAGCAAGTGCAAGTGACTGTTGGTGATTTTAAAGCTTGTAAATTAAACACTACAAATGTCTGTGGGATTGACTTTCCTCCTGCATTGTCACATATGTAAACTCTTTACTTTCCGCATTGTCATTCATGAGCAGGCTGGTCTCTTCTGCCAGGGGGCTTTTCAAAGTCGGAAAAAATAAACTTCATGATTTCATTAGGGTTGGACTACAATCTTCTGGGATTGGAAACTAGTTAACTAGTTATGTTGAATGGGGATAAATGATTCAATCTTGCAAATTTAAAAATGTTATCAGACTATACAGAACAAATTCTGATAGTGAAATGAGTCATTTACCTGCTTTTTAACTTTTGCTAAGCTAGTGGCTCAAAGAGGCTAACTTTCCGGTGTCTGTGCTAGAGTGCCAAGCTATGGCTACGTAGTAGAGACGTTGGCTTAATAGGAGCTTTTATAGGGTTGGTTGGTAACAAAAACGAAAAACAAAACCTATTGCAATTCAATTGTAATAGCCGGGTTTCAACCAGTAGAGGACAGTCGCTATGCATTTTTATAGCAAAATATGTTGAATTCAAATACACTAAAATGTCAAGATTTGGACCTGAATCAATCAACAACACTAGTATTACCCATATACATACGTTTTCAACTGGTTTTGGGGTTCAGTTACTCATGTAAGATTGTGTTTTGGTTAAATTTTAATACAAAATCTTGTCTTAAGTCACTGCTGACTGTTGAATAATGCTGTTTGATTGCCTATTTTGGTGGAAAACAAAGCAAATGTGTTATCAGTGAACATTTCTATCAGCATCAACATTTTTATGACTTGCTAGGTATGTTAATAAACAGCATTTTCTTATTAGGTTATTAAAAATTGTAATTAGGTTTGCATTACAATTCCCTCAAAACGTATTTGCTGTTGCAGATTAGTGCTACATTATAAACATAACTACTAGGAGACAGGGCTGCCTTCAAATATCATACATAAGAGTTTTTGAATTAAATGTAACAGAAAATTGTTGTAGAATATTGTGACAACCTGGATTGCATCGCTAATATACAATCTGACTGATTTCTTCCTGGTTTGTACCCCAATTCATTCACTTCATTTTATCATTCAGTTGAGGTTAGGAGGAGAGCAGGAGAGTTTCCCGATCAGAGCAAAACGCTCAAATTGTAAAAACAAAGCTTCACAATCTCTTCATTACATTTTTTTCAATCCCCACAATTAGCCATCCTACAGTATATCCTACTCTTAAAACCCTCACTCTGGATTACGCCACATTGCCTCACCACTCCACTGTCAGCTGTCACTGAAGCCGCTCATCATTTATCCACAATCCAGAAGCAAAATTTTGATCTCTGGACTGGACTGACTTGACTATTTTTCAGACTGAATTGAGTTGATCTTTTTTGATTTATGAACAGAATCTAATTTCTTTCTTTTTTTTAAATTATTTTCACTTTTTGGACGTGACCCTAGAAAAGAAAACACAGTGGAATTTTGAGTTTGGAATATCTCTGTTTTTGATTAACTTTGGGACTGTGGGATTTTGGGGTTATTTTGGTGAATTTTTGATGAACTGTGGGAATTCAGGAATATTTTTTTGAGAATTTGAAAAATATATCTTTAAGAGGATGTGTTTGTATTTTTAATTTCATCCTTATTGGCAGTTTGATTTGAACCTTTTAAAAAACAAAAACACCTACGAAACAAGAACAATAAAAAAACTTCTTGCAAGGAGAGAGACCTGACCGGCACCCTATCTAAATACCATATAAAAAGTAGAGACCCTAAGTCAAACTGTTACATTATGAGTACCTGAATAACACCTTAATAATGGACCAAAATCAGCACCTGTCTTCTACAATTGGTGACAAGCAGTTCTTACTGAATTATAATATTTTGGCAAAAATTCTCTGGTGTTGTTCCCAGGTTTGAGTCTGGCTTGTGATCTTTGTTGCATGCTATGCCCCTCCTCTCTCCACCCTTATTTCTTGTCTATCGTGCCATTATAAACTAAACAAAAAGAAAAAAGATTTCAAAAAAATATATTAAGATGTTGTCACTGCTACATTCTGAAAGTCATTGCCTGCTTTTGTGAGTGATGCCAGGACATTTAATCTCAAGTTTCTGGACACCTGATGAATGTGAGTCCAGTATACGCTGAACGCAAAGTATAGGTCTGCAGCCCAATAGGTCTGCAGTTGTTAGATGTTGCTTCGGCTTTCATGCTACTTGTTGCTGAGCAGGTAGGGATGTCTATGACTGTCAGAGCTTCTTGGCTGGAAATGATTGCCAGCACTTTAGCTGTGTATTTAGACAGAACGAAATGCAAATTTTAGAGGTGGTGAATTTGTATATAAAGTCGATAGACAGGCACAATTAGACACAATTTCGTAAATCACGTGTATGCACAAGTTGATAATGTTTCAAATTAAGCAAAAAATTCACATGAATCTGCTTCATAAACACACAGACCAATTACGGTGGCGGGGCACAGGAAGTTTTTTCTCGCAAATGTATGACTTTATAATCTCAGAGAATATGCAAGCTTTTTTTTAATTTAATCTCAGAAATGTTTTTGTTTTCTATTTTAATGTCACCCCCTCCCACAGCTCCATTTAAAAAGAAAAAGAAAAAGAAAAACTTGGCCCTAATACACTGTTGTAGAGGAGGGAGAGGGAGACTGCAGTGAAATAACAGAAAGAATGGGAGATCAGTCAGAGGTTATGTTGAACATCAGTACAGTCAGACTGACTTTTTGGGGCAAATAAACAGTCAAGTGGTGAAATTCATGGCATGAGTTGTTAATTTGTTTTGCTCTCTATATGAACAAACCTTAATATGGGATGACTGATGAGAGCTGTGAGACTGAAGCATAGAGCTGCAGGGCTGGTTGTTGATTCTTAGTGAGTTTGGCGCTCTAAACTGAGCCCAATGTTATTACAGTTTTCATAAATCTTCATAAATGTAATGTCATTTATGGTTAAATTAAGACCCAAGTCTTGTCAGTCCAATTCCATTCAAGCCTAAAAATATTTACTCCAGATGCAGATGAAGAAGGAAAATCTAGTTTTTCTGACAGTAGCCAGTTTTCTCATAAATGTCACACAAAGCAAAGCCTGGTTATTTCAGCCAGCTTATATGGTTTATGGTTTTAAACAAACATGAGCTTTGTAGGTTAACAACAGATTTTTCCATGCATGTTAATGTAGCTACTCGGAACGTCAGTGCTTATCGCCGACCATTTTTTGGTACATGTAATGTGAAAATCTCCACCTGCTTAATTAGACTTTGTTATGATAAAATAAGGAATCAGACACACAGTCCGGTCATGAGGGGTTTGTCTGCCCTTGGCTGATGTTGTATTTATCTTTAATTGTGTTCTCCCTGTGGGTGACAGAACACCTGGAGCTTCAGTGCAAACCCGATGCTGTTATTCTGTTATTCTCATCTGACGATGAGTGTTGTACATTATGTGCACTCTTATTAAAAAACTGTTTGACCTCTCTGACTAAGTGTCTCTGTGTCCTTTGTAGAATAGATATTAATCTCTATAATTAATGGGGTTAATCATAAGTCTTCCCTTACATTGTACCACTGAGGGGTTATCTGAGGAAACCTGCTCAACATCCCTAATGATAGGAAAAGAAAACTTCCAATAAAGCATTCTTCATTATCACATGCCCTGCTGAGATGTGCTGAGCTCTGACTGGAGGGAAGGAAATAAAATTCACAGCTTAGCAGAGAAAAACACAATTGCACGTCCTGGAGTCCTGAGACAGACAGAGAGAGAGAGTAAATCGGAAATATGAAGATGTGATGAGAAGTGGAGATGTAATATAGCAACAAATGACAAAGCATTTATTCTCAATTATCTACAAAAAATTTAGTACATTAACCATGGAGCTGTTTTTGTTTTTCCTTCAGAAGAAACCATTTGATGCTATTGATTATTCTGCCATTTGAAAATAATTGAGAGACTATGAACCCATCATTAAGTTGTTTGTGTCAAGTGCCTTTTTATATTGCTGTTTTACATTATACAGTCAGTTTACCCACATAAATAAATGTCCTGTTTTAATTGTCCCTTTAAAAACTAAAGTTCCAAGCTAACGTTCAAATTTTTATTTAAAATGCTCATTTTAAACATTGTCTTTGAGTTACATGTTGTTTTTCCACTAGCATGAGTCAACATTAGCATTTGTGCTGTTTACCATCTAGCTAGCTAGCATGTTCCGTTAGCTAATAACATATGGATGTGAATATTCATGTAAATGCGCTCTGAATATAATTATTAAAATGTTTCATGAGATTCCACTCCCTGGTTATGTCATTCTTCAGCTAACGGTGGATTCCCAGTAAAAAAAAGCTCCATAGCTCTTCTTTAAAAAGATGATGCGTATGTAGCAATGTTGGAAAAGTTACTGGTTTTATGGCAAGTATATCTAGAACGTACATTTAGAAATCATAAGTACTTTAGCACTATACTAATTTAGCCTATGACCTCTTCAAAATGATTCAGGAACTAGCCATAGCCTGTTATCTGTTGACTGACTGTTAGTTCCTGATTTGTCCCTGACTCAACTGTTAGTAACTACCCAAGCATTATACACATTTTGGGTGTATAATGCGTGTAAGTGTCATTCACAATTCAGACTAAAATAAATATCATTTGGTGCTGAAGTGAACATAAGTAAAAATACATCTTTTGATTTTTTTCCCCCTTTTAATTGACACTTAGCGGGCCATTAGCTAAAATGTTTCATCAACTCTCTCCACTGTCACAGAGTCAAGCCACACACTGCCGAAAATCCTTTCCTTCCCCATCAGCTACCTGGGCGCAGTCCTCTGAACGTTGTTAAAATTGGGTCACTGCTTGTGATACTGAAATATAGACCCTGAGACCTAATATGAGTTACTGTACTTTTGATCTTAGAGTGCAAGCACTAGTTATAGCTTGTAGCTGAGATTTTTATCATTGGGATGATTTGATTATCATTCATTTGATGTGATCATGTTATCTTACAGCAAGTGAGCCACTCCTGATTTCTGTCAAATTAATGTCATAAATGTGTGAATATATTCCTGTATATTATGATCAGATGGAAAACTACAGTATGTGCATAATTAATATGGAAATCTGTATAAGCCTCCATAGCTCCAGCTAAGTTAACATCATGCAAAGTGTTCTCAACTTTACAGCACAAAGTGCTGAGTGCAGTCTCTTAACTGGCGTCCCAAGGGTCCACTGCTGATCAGCATTTCCGGACAATGCGTGCTGTCAAGGCCACTTTACAAGCTTAAAGCAGAAAATATAACAAAAATAGAGCTTCTGATGAATGCAATAGGGATTCACTGAACAAAAATGGAGATAGTTGTTTGCCTGTTTCCATAACTCCCCTGAGTAACGTCTTCATTATAAATATGAACTTTAAAAACAGAATATAGCTCAATATACTTGAATAAGTGATAGTGACTGCTGATCCCCAGTGTAGATGAGGAAATATTCAGCTACAGCCTTAATGAGCTGCTTTAACGGCCAGAATACATGGACCCCTATAATCTAGTCACTTTCATACGTGTGCAAGCACACAGAAGTAAACTTTCGGGTACATGCAGTCCAAACAACATAGCCTCTGGGCTTTGGTTGGTTCGCAACAGCCGAATGTAGCATGATATGAATATCTACCACGGTCAGAAAGATGCATAAACTTTATGACTGAATAAATATACCAGAAAAAAACACTCTGAGCAACTGGCCTGTTACCACTGGATTTCTGGTGGTAGACGACCAAAATCCCATGAGAACACCAATTGTGGCATGTACCAAAACAGTGTGCTAACAATAAAAAGCTTTTGTCAAAAGATTAAAAGTTTTGAGAAGTGATTTAGAAGATGTCACTGCCTCAGATCCTCAAGAAAGTAAAGTTGAGGGTTCCTGACTGCAAGCCCAGGCACCTTTAGTTTTGAACCATGACTTAGGAATAGCCAACAGAGCCCTGTCTGAAGATCTGACGTTGCACTTATAGGGGAGCAGTCATTCAGCAATAACTGGGAGCTAAACTATGAAGTGCTTTAAAGGTTATCAATAAAATCTCAAAATCAACTTTAAAACTTGCAGGTAACCAATGAAGAGAAGCTAAAAATAGAGCTGGTACCATCTTGTCGTCTGTTAAAAGTAATGAATTAGAATAATCTAATCAAGATGATATAAAAGCTTATGACCTTCTTGAGACCATGCAGACAGAGAAAAGACTTTTAATGACTGAACAACTTTTGGAACTTGTTGTTCAAATAAAAGTTCACAAATATTCTGGCTGCAAGTTTGACATTTGCAGGGAGCCAAGATGTTTTTGAACAAGTGGGATATACTTTGGAGGACCAAAGATGAGATGAGAGCTGGAGAAGGCTTTGGGACATCCAGCGTTTTATTTCCAACAGACAAGATAATAACATGGACACCAACCAGCAGCTTGTACTGTTTGTATCTGTCTGTATCTGTCTCTGTAATCTATACTGAAAAGGCCAAAAAGGAAAACATTTTTATAGTTTGGACCATCATTCCTATTAGTAATACCGAGTAACATTATCCCCAGCAAGTTAATAACTGAGCTTTGGGAACATGGCTAAAAAGAAGTCAAAAGGGCATGAAACACAAGCAGTCAGAAGATTAGACTGGCTGAACTCACTTTAGTGGTTGCCAGAGGGCTCAGCTAGAAGTTGAAGTTGAAGTTGAAGAAAGCTAAAAGGAGAGTGAATATTAGAGTTTGTCAGGTTGACAGAAACACAACTCTTCACTTTGAGTGAATGCTAATGTTGCTCTGTATCTGCTGAATGTGTAAAAAAATAAATAAAAACTCAGATGGCGAGAGGAATTCCTCTGGGGGGGGAGTGCTAAGGGCTTGATAAACACTACTGGAAGTCTTGTCTACCTCCACAGTTGTACACCTTCTTTTTTCCAGGATTATCTTATCTCTAGTATGTCAGACTGAATAATAATGTTTCTGATTCATCTGGTATGAATCAGACACCCCCCAGAGTCAGTCTTATCTCTTTTTATTTAGTAAGTACACAGCTGACTGTGGGCAAACACAAGTGTCTTGTGATCTGCAAATATTGTCTGCCCTTGGAGAAGTCAAATTGCAACGAGCAGACATACAGAGAAGAGGCAGGGAGATTTATCTTGAGTGAGGATAGCCAGTGTGCCTGATTATTTAAGATATTGGTGGTCATGGAGATATAAACTGAAATTAACTATCTACCTGATGTGAAGGTGAAAAAAGCTTTAACACTCTTTCCTGGTAAAATAATCCCTAATTTCTGAAATTCCTCTGGCACTGAGTGAGCGGCATTAAGCCATTCTGTCTATGAATGAACTTTCTTTTCCTGCTGGCGCAGCTGATCGGATATGGTTGCCTTGGTAACAAATGCAGACAGATGAAAACAAGAGGCAGCCTTATGAATGCAGACTCCAAACACAACATACAAATCTATCAGGATAAATGATCACTCTAGTGCATGGACATACTTTAAGTTTATTTGCTTGCGAGTGTAATTTCACTATCTGCAAATGATTTGCAGCGGAGGATGAAGAGGAACAGTTGCTCAACTTGGCACAAGTTTCATAACATCTGAACTCATAGCAGTTAGACAATTCACACCGTTTGTGTCAGTAATGATTTGTATTACATGCTTAAACGCATACAGTATGCACTTACTCGTACACATGCTTGAGTGTTTACCCTGTGAAAAGGGTATAGGTCATGTTTCTGCTATTAGGCTTTATATAACTATTAGAACAAATTAGCAATTAGAGTGAAATTACCTCTGAAATCTAGTGGGGAAACAATTATAATAAGTCTGTGTGGAATTTAAATTTAAATTTACCCATCTACTTAGTCTACTCATTAGTTAGCCAGTGCATAAGTAATCATACTGCTACATAAGTTTAATTTTACTTCTCAGAACAATTCGTCTTCCTTTCAACTGAGAAAGCTACCTGCAGTGCCACAAATTTGACAACAAGCCAGCAGCAGTGAGGTTCTATCTATCTAAGGATATCACCACCTCCATTGCAGGAAACAATGTCAATGTCACACACGTATTACAACAGTAAACTAAAATATGTTTCTGAAATGATTTTAAGTGAGAAATAGGCAACACAGTAACATAATATTGATTCATATTTGATCAGCACTGCCTGGTTTGACCAGTTTGATCTGAGTTTGGTCGTTGAGCTGGACGGACTCACTAAGAATGACTTGTTTATCACAAGGTAGAATACCCTGCTTTATTGTCGTTTTTACTCGAAATGGGACCATCAATTACTAAATGAACATCATGCTGTATGGAAGGAGACTTTAAACTAGTGATTGAGACCATAAACCCATCAGGGAACTGTTTACTGATCAACACTTCCTGGAAGCTCTGTCCACTAATTATACACTGTCAGTGTGAGAAACCAATGTTACTGACCACCAGTTGGAAATAATTATAACATAGGTAATGTGT